TCACCCTAAAGAATGGGATTAGTACCCTTATATAAGAGACCCCAGGAAGCTAGATAGTCCATATGAGGACACAGCAAGAAGGCACCATCTATGAAGCGGAGAACAAGCCATCACCCTTAATCTTGGACTTCCCAGCCTGCAGAACATTAAGAAATAAATTTTTGTTGTTTATTCAACACATAATTTATAGCAGCCCAAGTGCACTAAGACATAGAGTACATAAGAAATGATTTGCAGGTAAGAAAATGAATTTCTTTTAGCTTAAAATACACCCAAACTTACATATTAAAATTAAAATGATAATGATAAAAATAGTAATTTCCATTGTGTCCTTATGGTAAACAATGTCCTAGTTACTCGGTGAAATTATTTTAAACTTTAAATACTAACTGAAAAATGGGAAACATTTCTCTCTGTTTGGAAATGAGAAAACTAAAGCTCAGAGAAATTAAGATATTTGCCAAGAGCCATACATATAGTAATAAGTAGTAAAACTAAGATTCTATGTGTCAAAAAAGAATATACTCTAAATGCTTTCTTCAAAGTTATCAAGGTTATAGCAGCAGCAGATGTATAGTTGTATGCAGCCATCACCTAAAACATTTATAAAATAACTGAACTTACCATTAATGTTTCTGATGCAGTCTTTTGAACAAACTAGGTCTCCAACTTTTGAGGATTAATTTATTTTATGGAAGGAAACTAAAGGCAATTAAAATCAAGTCACTTTGGTGAAAGAGAAAATGCAATTAGACAATAATAGTTTAGTGTAAAAACTTAACAATCATTAGAAGTATTCTTTGTGTTACTCAAGCTAACTTTATAGGCAATATTACAGGAGAGTTTTGAGCAAGGCCAACTGTGAAATAAAAATTAATGATTTTGAAAGAAGTATATCATCTAATGTGTGTTCAAAATGAAATTTTATTTTGAAGTCTAAATTATTTTGAGCAGACTAATGCCAGTATCCATAGACCTATCTATCAAGGAAGGTTCTTTACAGTCACCAAGAGGCATTCGAAAGAGGTGGAACTTAGCTAGAGCGTAAATGGTAAAGAAGAATTAAAGTCTTGGTGTGAACAGGGAGTGAGCAATAGGAGACTAGCCAGACAAACAACACTGAATTACCATGTCTACGAGACTGAGAAGAGATGGACTAAGTTATTACAGAAAATAAGAAACACAACTGGGTAAGCTTTTCAGGTTACTGAGCTAGAAGCCATTTTATTGCCCTGATAATAGATTAAAATTTGTCCATTCATTTATAAATTTCTTTGGATAACTTTTAACATCTTTCTGTGTGAATATAACAACCTTGTTTCCTCTCTTACCTTACCAATAGTTACCTTATGTTTGATATTAGCTTTAATTTAATCCTTAGTCACACTGATATTTTCAGAACAATTTTTTCTTTTTAAAAAATCCAAAAAGTAGTAATATGATCTCAATACAATCATTCTATATGTCTTGACACTACAGAAAATTACTCAGTGATTTGTCCAATAATAGTGAGCATATTGTTACAGCACTTTCCAATCTGTCCTTAATTTTCTTTTTCTTTATAAGGTTCATGAAATTTTGCTTTTGTTGAATATTTATTTTCACTGAAAGTAATTGACATATACTATTCACTAGATTTCGTGAGAAAAAGAGAAAGAAATAAAGCCTTGATCTGTGGCTCTGTCTTCTTCATCCAATTTGGTCTTGCTTTGGGAACTGAAACAGGTAGGGAACACAGGTTTTTCAGTAGCTCTGATTATTTTCTTCATAATTTTTCTTCATTTTGAATATAGAAATTATAAGGGGTGCAGGAAATCTCATTTGGAGATAGGCGAAAGGCAGTTACTTAATACAACTTAACAATATTGTCAGTCTTTGGTTTTCAGTATATGTTTTATACTTTATAACAGAAATATCTTGTTTGTTGCAGGTGCAACAAATGTGCATACATATGATGAAGCCTTAATAACAAAAGTGACATTTGATGAAGTACATGTCTTCTCCAACTGATTTTCAAGAAAATGCACCTCAAAGTACACTCATTTTACTTATAGATTTTAACACTGCTTCGAAATGAAACCATTTAAAAGACAATTTATAATAAAAATAAAATATTACAATTTATCAAATTAAAATTATAAGATGTAATTTTATAAGTGTATAAATATAATATAAATACATGAAAACACAATAATTTCTTTTGGGAACCATATGCACATCCTAGTTTCTTCATGTAAGAGACATATTTTAAAAAACAATGGCATCTGCATTTATGAATATTCAAATGATCAGTAGTCTAATGGATAAATAAAAATCATTTTTATTAGTTACTTTGTTTAGGAAATTGCTTTAGTTTTGTTCAATTAACTC